TATTAACTTAAAGTAACAAAATTAAAGGAAATATAAAGTACAGTATTACATAAAACAAATCTTAGTATAAGTGAAGTGCTCTTTTAAATAGAATATTTACATTAAACAATGTTTTAAACTCAGTTATATGCACTGCAGCACAATATTGAAGAGGATGCATGAAATGAAACCTTTCAACAAATAAAACTAAAAAAATCTATTTAAGTTGCATTTATCATTAAATTAAATATATAAGAGGCTGAAAATAATTGTAGATAAAACTTAATTTAAATCAAAATTTGAATGACAATGCACTAAGAAAAATACATTTAGATATGAATTGAAAATAAAATAAGAAAATACAAATAGAATTCATACAACGTAATAATTTATTTAGTTCTAAGTTAAACATAATAAAATTCTATTAAACAGAAATACATGAATTTAAAATTAATGAATAAATGTTATTTCCAAACTGCTTGTAAGATTGTGCTGACAGCATTTCTGACTCATCACGATGCTGTTCTTTTAGGAAGAAGTAATACATGAGACTTACTGTAAGACTCCAGTGTCCCTGCTCTGCCTGAGGTCCAGGCTAGGCTCTCAGGGAGCATGCGCCGGGTGAACCATCTGAACTCCGTCTCAGCAGGGGTGTTAGTGCAGGAAATCCTCCGCTATCCTGTCCCCAACTTCTTTCTGGGCCTGAAAGAATTCCTCCCCAAACCTAGCACTCTCATCTTAGCCGCCCTCTCAGTCTGCAAAAAAAGAAAGGCTTCGGAATTAGATGCCCTGTCCCCAGACAGCATGCACGCTGGCAAGAACACCAAGTAGGACCGGGTGTCCTCTGACCCCTGACTCATCCCATTCCTTGCCCTGGGAGCTCCTTGACCGGCAGGGGGCGCTGACTCATTCTGGGTGCTCGCACCTCCCAGTTTTCCCGTTGGTTTTTTTTCCTTTTCTTTCCATTCCTTTGTTTTGTATTATGTCTTTCTCTGCTTTCCTTTTTCTTTATTTTTTCTATTTCTCGTTTCTATTTTCCATTCACCTCTTTCTTTCCTCACAGTTTTCCCTTTACTATTCCCTTTACTATTTACTAGAGAGTTTCAGGGCACTTTGACTCTGCCCTATTGACTCAATGGCAAAGAGTTTGTTTTCGTAGTTAAAAAAAATTATTATCCCCCTCTTTAGTTTAGTTTATTGTGTTTTCCTTTTTCTCTTCCCTATTTTATCTTCCTTTAATTTTTAGTTATTGCACTATTTCTTTTGCTATTTGCCTACCTGTTTCTTTCTCTTTGCTGTTTATAAGGGTGCTTGTGTGTGTGTGTGTGTGTGTGTGTTTCTCTCTACCATGCCCTTTTTCTGTACTACCTAATTGTCTGTGAGCAGCAGCTACTACCAGGACAAACCACCCTCAACTGTGCTACACAGTGAACTGAGAACTACAGACAAGCTCCCCTTCTCTACCACTCACACCAGGAACCAGTTTTTGCAAGCCTACAAACACACCACCTACAATCACCCATTAAGAGAGATACGTTTACCTTGCATCCACAATCATCAGCACTCATGGAGGCAGTGGTGAAGAACACGTCTGCTGCACATTTTGAAATAATAATAAAAGAAACCTCTTGAAAGTGTAGACGACCAACGATGTTACTCTGGGCCCACGGTGTACGTGCCCATTGTATTTTCCATAGCCTCATCGGCATGTGAGCGCCGGGCAATGTATAGGGAGATCACAGAGCGCGTGATGCCTTTGAATTAGGATCCTGTTGAAGAGTACTGAAAGAACAAAGTACTGCCTGAAGAACAAACACATCTGGCTGCGGTGAGTTACAACTGACCTCTCCTGAGAAGCCAGCACTGGGAAGCTCGATCTCACATACTTTTGACACATGAAAGGGACAGAGCAGCTCCTGGAAAAGGACATCGTGATTGATAAATAGTGGGTCAGGGAACGCAGGAAGCCCTTCAACAAGATTGACACCGTTGCTGCAACAATGGGCTCAAATATAACAATTAAAATGATGGTGCTGGGCTGGGCAGTAATTTCTTCTGATGTACATCGTTGCAAACAACTTGACAGCACCACAAACAATCCAACAAAAGACATTTCGGTTCACAAGAAGAAACAAGGCAGACTGAGTCAAACAAGTGAGCAAGTGCAATTCCAACAGACTTGTGTGAGGAAGAAACGGCCTTGGAATTGCACCATAAGGAAATCAAAGGAATGGCATGTGAGCTCCTTCACTGGATTCAATGAAAGCCTGGGAACGTGGCAGACGAATGCAAGGAAAATGTAGAACAACTTTAGAGGGACTCAGGAAAACATCCAAGAGCAAACTGATTTCATTCTCAAAACATTATAAAGCATACAAAAATAGCACATGTAAATCCAGAAAATTAATACTAAAATTTCATAAATATATAATACAATGAAAGAGCAGAAGAGTAAGATTTCATCATTGAAATGCTAACCTACTGACCTAGAGGAAACAAATTGAAAAACACACAAATTTCAAATAAACCACATTATCTATGTAGGACATAATAAAAAGGAATAACTTAGCTGTGATCCAAATTCTACAAAAAGAAGAGGCAACCAAAAGCACAGAAAAAAAAATGTTGAATTGCTGGAAGAAAGTTTCACTAACATCATGAAAGACGAGAACCTGAACAAGAGTAGACTTCAAAAGGAAATCACCAAGACATATCACAGTCAAACTTTCAGAATCCCAAAGACAAGGAAAGAATCCTTACAGACATGTAGTAGGCTACGTTTTCTAGAGAAGCAAGACCAGTGACTCTTGTACACGTATGTATTTAGAAAGGGATTTGTGTTAGTCAAAGTTGATTAGAGAAACAAATCTTACACAAATCATATGTGTGTGGCAGAGAACCTTACATCAGAGATTAATTGAAAAAGAAGAAGACATCCCAGCCCAGTTCAGATTAAGTCCATCAGTCGGATCTTAGCCCATATGTCTGATACCAGTCCATAAATCCCTCTTCAGACTCACGCAGCACATGCAATGATGCACATGCAGGAAAATCACAGGCCAGTGGGTAGAAGGTCTTGTGGATCCGGTGGAGGTAGAAGCATCTCAAGGCTGGCGTGGGTCTCCAAGTGTCTCCTCCAGTCTCTGAGTGTCTCAGCAGTAGGAAAAGGGAGGCAGAAAGTGTGTGTCCTGCCTCCAGGGAGGAAGACAGGAGTTCCTAGAATCCTCAGAAGGTCGTGCCCACACAGAGTCATCACTGGCTGAGACCTGAGTGATAGACTAGACTCCACCCCTTTGCTCAAGTTGACAGGAGATTTTGTAACTGCCACAGACCACCCCTTGTTAACTTGACACTTTCACACAACTCCGTAGCCATATATAATTCTTAAACAATAACAAAATCGTATCTATACCAATCAGGACAAAACTAAGATGTATAAAATTCAATATGTGCCAGCCTCATTTAAACATAATATTCTATAAGTGAACAAGACAACAATATTATATGCCTAGCAATTGCAGTTAAGTGAACATCTACACCCTGATCCCATAATCCTATGGGCGTATTCCCCTACCTGTGACAGTGTGTAAGCCAGCCACTTCATGCCTTTATCTCCCCATTTTGGGTATCTAATTTCTTTACTGCCCACTTACATCAACCCCGTGTACTTTGATGTGAAGAATTTACATTCCAGTTGGAACCTTGTGAGTCTGCATCCATCAGCAAAGTCAAATCAGGACAGGCCATCCATAAAGTCAACAGCAATATGCATCAGGCTCAAAAATCTCTTCATCTCATTGGGTTCTGGTCAGCGCAGTGTGGCCCGCATCACTTAGCCTCACGAGGGTACCCGTTGACCACCTCTTCTTTCAACCATGGGCCTCGTAACAAATTCTTAACAACCCTAACCCAGGTGCCCAGGGAGAGGGGCAGGTTTCGGTCATCCTGGTTTCTGGTGTACTTTAGAGCTGTGCGCATAGTGCAGTTCTCCAGCGCCCGCACATCGATTTGAACACTCTGTGGGTCGATGTGGCTCAGCAGTTAGGCATTCGGCCTCTAACACAGGTCCCTGGTTGGGACCCACCAGCCACTGCCACGAGAAAAAACCTGGCGACCTGCTCCCAGGAAGATGACACCCTAGAAAGTTTGATGGGTGTAAGCAGATCCCATCACCACTGTCACTTAGTGTCACTCTGAGTCCACGTGTGAGCAGTTTCCAACAACACGGTCACCGAGTCACTGCAAGTCTGTGTAAGCAGGCCCCATCACCTCTGGTTCTGTTTCATGTGTGTGAGAGGGGAGGCCTGCGTGGCGGGGCTCTATCCACAGGTATTGCTGGCAGCCTCATCTTGGAACATCTGAGGTCCCCAGTGATGGGATGAAATCTGGCTGGGGCCAGTGGGACACCATTAGCCACCAGGTGGCAGCAGAGGACAGGAGGAGCAGGCTGGGCTGCCTGGGTCCCCAGACCCCTGAACTGTAGGGGGAAGGGGGGCGAGTTTCAGTCTCCCGTCTTTATCATAATCCACACCTCCAAGGGCTTTTCTCACACTGGCATGGCCACAAAGTGTCCCCTTTATTTCCTGAATTGACACAGGGGTGCAGGGCGGCGTGGGGGTTGGGGGTGGCATTCAGAAAGGCCAAGCCCCAGGACTAAGCACCTGCCCCACAGGCCCCTGCCCAAAGCCTCATTCCGCGCCTCCAGGCTTGGTCCCTAAGCTAAGAGCCATCATGTCCTCTCCAATCCCAGAACCACCCCTCAGCTTCCAGTTTCAACTCTTCGCCCAGAGTCGCAGGCCCACCCCTAGTTTCACCCCGGGCTCGTTGGCACCCACATGGGGGTGACCTGGGGGCCAGGGTAAAGTTAGGCACTTGGCTGTCTCACCACTTCTCACCTGCAGTGCCAGGGGGTGGGGTGGGGCGGAGCAGGGTGACAAGCTCACAGGGACAGGTGCCACCCACTGAGGCATAAAACCCAGAGCCCGACTGAGACAGCTCCACAGCCTTAGCTGCCTCTCGCCATGAAGGGCACCAACACCTTCCTGCTGGCGGCCCTCGCCCTGCTCTGCTTCTGCGGTGAGTTTGTTCATGGGGGGTGGGGATGGGGGCAGATTCAGCGCTGCCAGGACATGCTTTGTGTGTGGGGGGTGGTGGTGTCTGGGTGTCAGGCACTCCTCTGGGACATTATCTCTTCCATACTGCCATGCCATTGCAAGCCACCTACATGCGGACCTAGGCCTGGGCCCAGGCTCAGGGCTGGCTGAGTCCCCACCAAGTCCATTCCCTGCCTCAGCCCCAACCAGCTCCACCCCAGCTGGACCCTAACACTCCAGACTCAGATCAGACCACCTGGCTCAAAGGTATTCCAGCCACATTCCAGCCGCAACTATTGCTGCCTAGTGATTCCAAGGGACCTGGAGGAGCAGTCTGGGGGCAGGCGCCAAGCGGGGAAGGACGGGGAGGGCTGGGATTGCCACACTGGGGTCAGTGTGGGGTCCCACTTCTGCTATCTCTCACCCGACAACAGGGCTGGCCAAGGGGCAAGACAATAATGAGTTTTTCATGGATTTCCTGCAAACACTGCTGGTGGGGACAGTAGAGGAGCTCTACGAGGGGCCCCTGGGCCAGTACAATGTCAATGCTGATGCCAAGTCTGCGATGAATGAGCTCAAAATGTGCATCGACGGCCTGCAGCCCGTGCACAAGGCAGAGCTGGTCAAACTGCTGGTGAGGCTGGGGCCTGACATCCCGTCCCCCGACGGCCTGCAGCCCCTGGCCTAGGGGCATGTGAGACTGACTCCCTGCTCCACAGAGCACCCTGCAGCCTGCTGCCCCCCCACCCCACCCCCCACTGGACCTGAATGCATGCTGACACCCACATCTCCTCCCCAGCAACTCCCTGTCCTCTGGCTCTATCAAAGGACCCTGGTATCTTAGCTCACATGTATCTCTCTTCCAGGTGCAAGTCCTGGGCAGTCAAGATGGTGCCTAAGTGGACCCCGATGGCCCCAAGCAGCCCTGGTCACACAGCCCAAGCCCTCCCCTTATGAAATATGGCCTCGATGTGCTCCGTCAATAAAGCCTCCCCCAGCTCGGTCTCCAGATCTTTCTCTCCCACCCAGGGACTGCTCTACCCCCTAGCCCAGAGTCCTACACAGATGTCCACACCTTCTGGGTGCACAGAGGGAGGGGTACACGGGCCAGCAAGCCACCACTAGGAAACAGAAGTGGGGCACAGAAAAAGAACCCTAGAAAGCCCAGGTGTCTGCAAATGGGCCCTGCCCCCCACCTGCCTGTGAGCGGCATCCCCAGCTATCACTCCAGACCCGAGGAGTCACCAGTGACCAGGCCCACAGGGATTAGAGGCCATCAGAGCAGAAGCCCTGGGAGGAGGCCAGAAGAGCCACAGGCAGGGAGCACTGCTGAGGAGCCCACCGGCTGGCCACGTCTGCAGGGTGGGGCTCAGACCCTGGACTGACCCTGACCTTGGCCCTGACCTGGGCTCAGGGGCTGAGGTACACAGGCTCTGAGCACTATGCTCCCTGCCCTGTTCCAGTCCTTTTCCTGACCCCACGAGGTCAGGAAGGGTCCGGAGGGCGTATGTGGCCAGAGCCTCTCAGAGGCCTGTGGCCTGGCGGCCATTGTCCTGTCACAGAGACAGGGATCTAGAACCTGAGCCCACAGAGGCCATTCCAGAGCATGGGCAGCACCTCCCCACCTCATGAGGGGCGAGAGAGATGCCCTTGCGCCCATGTTCCGGCCGCGGGACCCGAGGCCGGTGGGGCTGAAACCCCACTGAGCCACTCAAGCCTGCGTGGCTGTCAGGAGAGGTGATGGCCCACTGCCAAGCGCAGTCCTTTCTCAGCTCCTTGGACTTCCTACTGGAAAAAACACCTGGGGATGGTGCTGGGACCCACAGGGAAGGGGCGGACCTGAATGCCTGATCTTGGCCTCGCTATTCAGAGACCAGCTCCCATTGCCCACATCCCCCAATCCCCACTGCCCACCCCTCCCACTTCCTCCTAATCCCACTGCCTAACCTATTCCTGCCCCAACTCCCATCATACTCCAACTCCCGCTGCCCCCAAACTCCCAGTGCCCCCAAACTCCCACTGTGCCCCAAATCCCATCATCCCCCAACTCCCACTGCCCTCCAACTCATGCTGCCCTCAACTCTGACTGGAGGGAGGGCCGGAGTGGAGGGGAGAGAGTGGAGCCCAGGGGAACTGCTGCTGCCTTATGCCAACAGTGAGCCATGGCAGAGGAGGTGTGGGTGGGCGCTTGGCGGCCCCACCGCCCCCGGGGGCCCATCATGGCCCTCTACAGCAGCCCAGGACCCAAGTACCTGATCCCAGCGACCACAGGTAGTGGGGAGGGAGGCGAGCTGGGAGGTGCTGAGCACAGCTGGGGGTGAGTGGGGAGATGGGGGGTGGGGGCGGAGGGCAGAGGCTAAGGGCCGCCTGCCCTGCCACAGGCTTTGTGAAGCACACCCCTACCAAGCTTCGCGCCCCAGCCTACAGCTTCCGGGGGGCCCCCCTGCTCCTGGCGGAGAACTGCTCCCCAGGGCCCCGCTACAGCGTCAACTCCAGGATCCTGAGGACTGGCAAGGACCTCGGCCCTGCCTACTCCATCCTGGGCCGCTACCGCACAAAGACCATCCTGACGCCTGGTCCTGGTGAGCCCCGCCTCAGCCTGTCCCCGGCGGGGCCTGCATTGAGCCTGGCCTGAGACACCTGCCCCCCCCCCCCCCCCCCCACTCCAAGTTCAGGCCCTCTCCTTCCTGCCCTGAGTCTCCACCCCCGACCCGCCACCACCCTGCTCTGGGCCTGACCACCTGTGCTGGCACGTGGGCGCCCATTCCGGCGGGGCTCAGTGCAGCTGGCCTGACGCCCAGACTCCTCTCAGGCGACTACTTCCCAGAGAAATCCACCAAATACGTGTTCGACTCGGCGCCCAGCCACTCCATCTCTGCCCGGACCAGGACGTTCCGTGTGGACAGCACCCCAGGTGCCAGGCCACTCCCATGCTTCGGGCTGTGGGTGGGTCTCAGGGGGCCACTGGGGTGCAGGGCTGGCGCCCACTGCTAACAAAACCGCGGGTCTCAGCTGCAGGGCAGAGCTGCATCCATGGCTGAGGGTTTGCCTTTTTGCCAGGTCCCGCGGCATATGCATTGCCTGTGGTGATGGGGCCTCACACGGTGGGCAAGACTGCCCAGCCTTCCTTCTCCATCAAGGGCCGGAGCAAGCTGGGCAGCTTCAGTGATGACCTGCACAAGGCGAGTGTCTGGGGTGGGGGGCTGGGTGGTGCCGTCTGACCCTGGCACCCACATTCCCGCCCTTCCCACAGGGCCCCTGAGGGTAAGTCAAGGCTCTCTGGGCCCAGACTCTCTCCTAAAGGCCCTAGACCCCTCCGCACCCCTCGGTCCCTCTGCCTCTCACCTTCCAGTGTCCCCCACGCCCCCCACCTGGAGCTGCAAGTCCACAGTAAGTAAAGACCCTGCCTGCAGAAGGCCCCCTGAGAGGAGGGGCAGCAGGCAGAACCCCTGCGGGACGAGGAGGGACTGGGAAGGAGCAAAGCTGGCACCCCACAAGGCAAGGGCTGGAGGGATGACTTGTGGGCAAGGGTCACTGAGGGGGCTTGTTTTTAGGGTGGGCACAGTGCCACAGAGAGGTGGTGGGAAGCACATGTCACACAGGGCCAAAGTCATGAGCTCTGTGTTGCTGGAGTGGGCAGAGCGGCCCTGGTATTGGAGCTGCCCATTCCTGCCCCTCCATTCTGAGCCTCCCTGCCCCCCAGACCCCAGGTCCTGCTGCCTACCGCCAGACTGACGTGCAGCTGACCAAGCTGAAGGCCCCGCAATACACCATGGCCGCCCGTGTGGAGCCCCCAGGAGACAAGACCCTCAAGCCAGGACCAGGAGCCCACAGCCCAGAGAAGGTGGGGGTTGGGAGGAAGAGCAATGGGGATCACAGCCCAGACCGGGTGGGAGTGGGGAGGACCCCCAGCCCACAGGGGTTCTGAGGACCTGGTGGAGCCCATAGCAGGGCTTGCTTCTCCACGGCTCAGAGGTCAAGGTATTGAGGAGGCTCAGGACAGGTGAAGTGAGGGCCAGGGAAGGGTCTTCAGAGCCCTGAGTGCCCAGGACCAGCCCAAGGCTGCTTGCGAGCAATAGGTCAGACCACAGGATGTGGGCTCTGGAGGGTCACAGAGTCCCCAACCACAGTGTGGGCAGGCAGGGGCTCCTCTCACACACCCCTCCCCCACCCCCCCAGGTGACGTTGACTCGGCCATGCGCACCTGTGGTCACCTTCGGCATCAAGCACTCTGACTACATGACACCCCTGGTGGTGGATGTCGAATAGTTGCCGCAACGTTGACAGCAGCATGTCTCCACCACTACTAACTCACCGGTTGCTACTGGAGGCCCTGCCCTGCCCACCACTGGCCACCAGGTCTTGGGCCAAGAGCCTGGACAGTTGTGACTGGTCACTCTTTTCCTATACTACGCCCATTTGCTAATCTTATTTCCTGCTATGCCCAGATGTTTAATAAATCACTAATTCCATTAATGATGGGCTGTCTTGGGGACAAACTTTCCCAGGACCCCCGTGGGGTCTGAAGAGAGCCATCAGAGCAGGGACCCTCCATGCTGCCTCCCTCCCAGCGAGAACCCAGCCGGCGATCGGGGCTGCATCACTCCGCTCGGTGGGAGGCTGTGCCCACCCTAGCAGTGGGGATGGAGGCGGAGTCACAGCAGGGAGAAGGCTTCTGCCTTGGCTGGCTGGCTGGCTGGCTTGGCCTGCCCTCAGAGCAGCCGCCATGCTGTGTGGACGCCCAGCCCAAGGTGAGGTGTGTGCTGCGTCCCTAACCCTAACAAATGTGGTTGCTGCCTCAGAGACTGAGACTCAGGTCCTCTGTCCCATTGCAGCAGACAGTGAGCAGGGAAGGTTGCAGCAGACAGTGAGCAGGGAAGGTTGCAGCAGACAGTGAACAGGGAAGGTTGCAGCAG